TGTGACTTGATCTTTACAAGCATGTGCATGTTTGCTGAAGCTGCCTGAGACAGAAATGTGCAAATTTTTTTTTCAGAGTGTCCAGCTGAAAACCAGAAAATCTTTTTGCTCTTCTAAAGCCAGACACCTTCTAAAACCATTTGTGTCTTGGAAGCTAAATATATTTTTTTTCCCATAAGGTGGCATACTTAGTCCTGAGAGATCATACAGTTTCATCTGCATTTTTTTAGTTTTAGCATGTGTTCTTAAGGAATCAGATTTTGCATAATTGCTCTATCCATATTTTTACCAGCATCATCTTTGCACCCTAATAACTTTTTTACACCCTGGCCAATTTCAAGCAAAGTTGATAGAAACAGACATCTCAAAGACATGTTGCAAAGCTCTTGCTAGTTGTGAAAAAATCATTGTCTGAGTAGAATAGAGAGACCCAAATCACTGCCCCGTTAAGGAAGAGGCTAGAGCATGCACTGAACCGGTCCCGTGCACATACACATTTTGGCTGGCCCTTCAGGACATGTGTGGCTTGAACAAGTTATGTTTATCATGCGAGTTGTTTTCTGGTGTGTAATTAGGAGAGGTGGGAGGGTGTTCTGGGGGAAAAGGAAGGATGGAGATGGGGAACAGGAAGAAGCTGGGAGTTTAGGGAGAGCAGAGGTGTGTGGGGGTAGGGGTGGAGCTGGAAGCACCCTGAAGTGCAAGGTTAGAAAAAGAGACAGACATCTGCAATGATGCAGGCCTCCCTCTTTCTGCTTCTTATCAAATAGCCTGTCTTTTAAAGGTAATGGGGTGTCCCATGGCAGATGTTAGGCTATGCTGTGAGGTGGGGGAGGAATGCTCTGTTGCTTCCCACTTACAGTATCAATAAATTACTTCTATTAACTTTGAATTTCTATGCTCAGCTTCAAGCTGGACTTTCCCTGTTTCAGATATTTAAGGAAAATACAAATAATTTGATTGGTTTGATGATGGGTAACACTGCTGCTTTGATAGGATGGCAGGTAGCTATGGCTGCTGCCTTCCCATTTAGCTGGTATGGTTTTAAAAAACTAATATATGTCAATCAGGGTTCAGCTCTGAGACAGGCATGCTAACAGAAGGTAACGTGACAATGTTGGATGGTGATATTCCTCCTATAAGAGCAGCCTTCAAGGACAAGGAGGTTGTCCAGAGGTGCAGCCCGGCTCCCCACAGCTGTGCATGGTGGGAGGACATGAGGCAGCTATCGTAAGCCAAAACTAGATAGATTCAGACTGAATGTAAGGAGTAGATCAGATTGCTCAGAGAGGTTGTGGCGTTTCCACCCATGAAGGTTTCCAAAACCCACCTGGAGCAACTGGTCTGGCCCCAGGGCTGACCCTGCTCTGAGCAGGTTGGTCTGAGGACCTCTTGAGGTCCCTTCCAAACTGAATTAGTTTCCTTTGCGAAAAAAAAAAACAAACCCACCACATTATGCTGCAGAAAAGTGTCTTATAGCAGTTTTGGATTGACTGTATAGATTTGGGCTGTTAAATTTACTAGTGGGAGTTTTATGATAGGCATCCTAAGAATATGTATTGACCCCCACCTTAAAAGCAGAATTTAGTACTCGAGTGAAGTCCTTGTAGATGCATTTTGTCTTTTGCCTTAAGAAGCAAAAGTAACATTGTCTTGTTTTGTTGTAGTTTGTTGATTTTTTTAATTAAAATTATTATTTTTAAGTAAAAGTAAAAGAAAGTAAAATCTAACTCATTATTAGGCATGAGCAATTCCCAGCCTGGGCCTGGATGAATTATTATCGTTGTTGTTATTATTAGAGTAATAGTAAAATGCTGAAAAAAAACTGGAGATTTATCAAATATTCAAGACAGACATGTGACCATACACCTTGTAGGCCGGAAATGGGTTCTTAGTATTTTAATATGCAAAGTTGCAGGGTGTTACTTTGGCACTTGCCTCATTTTGCTTATTTTGAAATTATAAGTCTTAGCACGTGCTCAGCTCTTTAGTATACTCCAATCTGTGGGCTGTCTTGTGCCATTGATTTTAGGCAAACTACCTTATGTTCTTAGTAGGGAAAATTATTGATTGGGGTAAAAAAAAAAAAAAATTAAAAAAATGAGGTCAGTGGTGTGACATGGCTTGTTAAGGGATGTGGTTTTCATATTAAGCCAGTTGGGTAGCACTTCCCAAAACCTTTGCAAGTCAACTCTTAATGTAGATGTTAACCAAACTAACATGTCAAATACACTTCCATGCAATGTACAGTTGCCTGTTCTGCTGTTTGGTTGATATGTGCTGTCATCTCCATTGGACTTCATGTTTGCTTTTTTTTTTTTTTAAATAAACAAAATCCATTTGACTGAGATGATGCTACAAGTTTGAATTTTTGGTCTTGCAGTGATGTGTAGTTGGCAAACAGCCTTGTTCCTTTCTGAAACTAGTATCATCAGGACTTAAAAGGGACATGGAGCCTTTGTTTAAAAAAGGGAAAAAAACTTACTTGTAGCAGTTTTCTGGTGACCACTGTAGGTTTGTTTCCAAAAAGTGAAAGCTGGTCTCAGAATTATTTAATTTTGGTAGCTAGGGCTGGATTAATCTGCTCACTATTTTCAATGCTCATTCCACTGTGGTTTATTTTGGGTCATTTAATTTCAACAAGGCTTGATCTGTTTACAGCACTTTCTATAGTAGCATGACGGGGCCACACAGCTCTTTTAAAGTACATTCATTGCTAACCAGGAACGCAAAAAAACTAGTAAATGAGGCACAGACATTAATAAATTTGGAGAGGACAGTACATTTTTGTATGGGTGGATTATTTTGGAAAGTTTTCTGAAATAACCAATCTTTTGTGCACTGTGGATTGATTTGCAGAGCTTGAAGAGATTTTATATAGTAGCTGTGTGCTTTCAGAGGTGGTAGTGGAGGGCTGGCTGAAGGCCCTTCCAGGCTTAAGGTACTTCAAAAGCCACTGGGCTTGAGAGTTGCTCTTAATCCTTATTTGAAGAGCACTTTTGTTTCCAAAGGTAGATATTTCTGTCAGGTTTGATAGAAATAGTCTGATCAAATGGTTTGAGTTGATTTTGCTGCGTTAATTTTCAGATTTGCTGTATGAACCATTCATACACAAAATAGATTTAGATCTCAGTTAAAGATGTCTTAATCAGTTGGCCTCATGAGCCAACACAAAAGCATATGCTCATTGCCTGCATTGAACACACTCCAGTTTAACATTATGAGGGAGATGACCTTGTTGCCCATGAATGGAAGAGCTAGCCTTCTTCTGTGTCCATCAGATCACGACCATATGTGTTTCTGCTCATGCCAGATGACAGAGTAACATTCCTTCTCTGTACTTTGTTAAACCAGACACCATTAGTCCTCCCACACCAAAAGTCAAAAGGAAGGCACAATGTCCTGAAAAGGGCTGCATCTACACTAGCTCATTTGAAGCAGCACCAAGAAGTACTTCTGAGTGCTGAGATTTTTTCTTAAATTTTCAGCTTTCTTGAACTCTTCTGGGCTCCACCATTTAGCATATTCCCAAGCATCAGCCAGGCACATTTCAGGAAAGGGCTGTTCTCAATAGTTTTAATAGTGCGGAAATAGCTGTTTGCATTCCCGTAGGCCTTGTTGCAGCAGAACCTTCCTGGACATGTTTAACTTACTCCTGTGTAGGTGGTCATTACATCCTTCCAGCAGATTAGAGGCAGAATCAGCAGTGTTTTGGTGTCTGAGTCAAAAGTGTAACATTAACACTGCTGTTCTGGGAGATTAGAAGCATATGGAAGGTTTTGTAGCAGCATGTGTGTGCATATGCATACACAATCAGTGTACATGTCTACCATGTGATGTTCTTGCATAGGGATCTTAATATTTTCTTGGCTGTAAGAGGATATTCCTGCCTGGCTACAAACTGTAAAGGCCTTGTGCCAGTGAATGGAAAGTTTAAAAAGCACTTTTCAAAAAGTCTCACAGTCTTACCTTCTACAAGTTGAGTGTGTGAAATGCAGATTGACTACTAATGCTTTAGGTCCACTGGTCACAGGTTTTAAAATTGTGTGACTGTTTGTGAGCCGTGTCATCATGGAGCTTCTGATCTCAACAGTCCTGCTCTGCACCTGCACAACCCACTGGAGCACCATACGGTTTCCCTTTCTGGGAGAAAACATATCAGCACATCTTACACTGCTCTACCTACATTTTGTCAGCAGGCACTACTTGTAGAGGTGTGCTCCAAGTCCATCTCCTCCAACACAAGTCACCTCAGGAGCAGCTGTCCATCCATCTTTTTACTGACTCCTCTTGTCTCTTAACTGTCTAAAAACTGCTTTCAAGCTGATCAGGAGCTCTCGTTTTGCTGTGTACCTTCAGATTTAGCTCCATGCACTGTGGCTAAATTTAGGCTGCAAAAGTACCAACTTGACTTCTTTTATACTTGAATGGAAATAGTGGAAAGTTGTGCTGATGTAGTAAAAACAGGAGGCCAGAAAGCAGTGAACTGTAATAAGGGTGAACATACAAGAGAACATGAGCAAAAAGTGCCCACTTTAGAACCTTACTGCCATGAACACAGAGTCATTCTTTTAATGTGCTTAAAAGCTGCATTTCTTTTGAAGAAAGTTTAAATCTGTTATCTATAATGCAATGTAATTTACAAAAATATTTATGTTACTGTAACACCAGATACTCTAGCCAAGATACTGTTAGAGACAGTTCAGGCAGACTAGGTAATACTCTGAGTATTATTTCTATAGCTCTAATCTGTACTTAACAATGAAAATGCTGTTTCAAAGCCTTCCTCTTTTTTCTCATGACCAGTAGCCTTAATGATCAATCAGAGCTAGTGGGCTGAGGCAGAGCTCAAAGCCACCAGCTCCTCCCAGCTTGCTACATAGTTCCCAGGAAACACCCTGTATTTCATTAGGTTTTGCTTAATTTGTGGTGTAATATTTTGCTCAGAGGCATTAAACAATCATCAAAAGCAGCAGACCAATTGGTATTACTTCTTTCACCAGGGTCGTTGTACAAGGGAGAACTGCAAGTACCTTCACCCACCGACACATTTAAAAACTCAACTGGAAATCAATGGCAGGAACAACTTAATCCAACAAAAAACTGCAGCAGCAATGCTTGCCCAGCAAATGCAGTTCATGTTTCCAGGGACACCACTACAGCCAGTGGTAAGTATATATCTCTGATGGTATTATTGGTAAGTAAAGTTGAAGACCATATTGGCCTGCAAAAGTTCTCTAAGCGAGTATCAATAAAAATAGTCCCCATCTGTTGACTTAAGGAATTGCTGAGATGCTAGAGATACGTTCATTTATATTTACATTTGAAGATAGAGTGTTGCTGTATTGGTATTTTTTTATCCCACTCTAATTTGCCTTTTTATTTTTCTCTGTTATATTTTTTTCCTTCAAGCAGTTCACATCAGGTTTAGCCTAGTTTTGCAAGGTTTTACATGCAGTCTTTCTGGACATGAAAATGTGAATAATAATAATAATAATAATAATAATGATAATAATAATAATAATAATAATGATAATTCGGTAGTAAGCTATTTGAGTAGGAATGCAAAGTTTCTCAGGAGACTATGGGTTTGACATAGACTTTAATTTAATCTCAGTACCAGGAGCAAAGGTTAGTGTCATTCTGGGTTGCATTTTCTTGCTCTCTTGAAATGTGTTGTGTCCCAGAACAAGACTGAATTGCTGGTGCATGCACTTCACAAACTCAGCATTTTATCTGAGGCGTATGGTACCTGGGACACTTCAAATCCAGAAAGGGACATAAAACTTAGAGTCTTGCAGGCATGAGCAGTGTCCTTGGATATACATGAAAATGATCAATAGCTCTGGGCTGCTTTTGAGGTTGAGCTGCCCTCATAATACCAGACTTCCAAAGCATGGCTAGGCAAGTAATCTGATTTAAATTTTTCACACATGGCTGCTAATAATGCTTTCTTAATCTGAACACATGGTATAGAGGCACTGGAGTGGGATTTCTTTCTCTAACTTGAGGCATCTTGAGTGTTGGCATCAACTTAACCCTGGGCTTCTGATGTCCGTGTATAGTTTGTCAGAAGAAACAGGCACTTCTAATTCCAATTTGCTTTGCTTGTTTTAGGTGTCTGCATTTGGATTAGATTATTTGGTTTTTTAAAGTTCCTTTGTTTTACCATGGGCTGTCACAGGACCCAGGTGTAAGCATGTCAGAGGAAGTAATTTGTATTTGGTCACAGGAAGTTCATCCCAGATGCCTTTTTGAAAGTGTGTTTTTAGAGTTGAAACATCTGCTGTAAGGTGGGAGGCATGAACAAAAATTGGGTGTCAGGAATCCTTGAATTTTTGGTACATGTTCATCAAAATGTATCTTGGTATATTGGCATCATATGTTTGGTATTTCCTGGTTTTTTTACTGCTTGAGTTTCACAAAAAACGTTTTCATGAAGTAATACATTTCACCTCTTGATATTATGAAGAAAAAAAAAAGTAAATGCTGAAATTATACTTTTTTATTCTCATCCATTTCATCATTTGAACTTTACAGTTTCATTGACGTAATGCCTTCTGTACTGATTGCTGTAATAAAAAAGATGGGTTTTATTTCTCTGTCCTCCAAAAATTGCCAGATTAAGATGACTCAGCCTTGACTAAATGGATAAAAAGTGAAAGAAAATTCCACAGAAGTCATTTGACATGTGGATTTATTATTAAAATTATAGCTCATATAAAGCTGTTCTTTATATTTTACATAGCATGTATTGTTCGAACGTAGTTGAACTGTTGTTTCATATAAATGTTCGTTATTATGCTCTAAAGAATTTAGCTTGTGCTTGGCATATCCACCATGCTGTTTGATATGAAGCAGTTTTGACCTCTGATAAAACCAGAGCATTACTCACTTTTAACTGTCTAGGGCAGGTAGATATCATTTCCAGACAGCTGGGTATCCTGGTTAGTCTACTCTTCAAAGAATCTTTTTGGTACTAACTCATATTAATTTACAATTTAGTAATTGGTTCCAAAAGAAAAAAAAACAACAAACAAACAAACAAAACCCAAAACCAAATGAACAAACAAAACCCCAGCTAACCTAATCACAAAAACCAAGCAGTTAGAAATAAACCTTCTAGCTCTTACGTTTTTTCTTGTTTATTTTCTATTTACTGTGCATGGGTGGTTTCCCTTCTCCAACAACAGGCCACCTTGAGACGAAAGATGGTCCTCCTTCATTAGGTATTTTTTAAGTATTTCCCAAGTGTTCTGCTATTGTTAATTTCTAGCTGCTGGTTTATTTAGGAACGTAAGTTTTTACAAAGCCAATCTGAGATTGGTCCTGTTTTCCTGCATAGTTTTTCCTCATTCATAATCATAGCTCTCCAGGGTAAATGTCAGCTCTGCAGAACTAAAGCGCTTTCAAGGTCTGACCATGGTGATGTTTTGCCTCCACCCCACCCATAGAGCGGGTGGTAACAAACCCACCATTCTGCCTTGGTAGTGCTGCATTTAAGCATCACACAAGTGCTCTTTCTTCTGGTCATAACTTCACTGACTCACTCTAGGAAGGAATTAAATAGATTTTTTAGACCTGTATCATTCCTTCCAATCAAATTTTTTTTTTGTAAGATGAACTCTAGCTAAGCCTGAATAATCCCTTTCTAAATATTGTGTCCAGCTGAGATTATAATATTTATTCTGCTTGCCACTGGTGACAGCTGAGCACACAAACATTTGCAAAGGTGAGGTTTTTCAATATGTGAGCCATAGTAGCACATATAATTGCAGGAGGTGGCAAAATACAGCATGGCAACAGATGGAAGTTACATGCCATGTTAATTATATATACTCTTATTAGAAATATGGCTTTAATACAGTTAATAATACTTCACCCATGAAGTCTGGTACTTTGAAAAATAGCCAGTTTTCTCATGGAAAAACAAAGTTACTGAGAAAAAGCAATAATGTCTCTATTATTTCTACTTTTGGATGCATAAAGAAGCCTGCAAAATAAGCTGGACCTCCATAGAGATTTGGGTTCAAAGTATGACTCCTTTTGCATTGGCAGCCTCTTTTCCAAGAAGAGAGCTATAAAGTGCATTTCTTAGTATGCTGCTGGAATGTGTTACGTGATTAAAAGAAGAGAGGATGTTGTATGTTTTGCCAGCTGTTTGACATTTTTTGATTAAGAAAAATCAATCAGTGCCAGAAAGAACTCACAAAAGACAACTAATAAGCTCTTGATGGAAGGGGTTGGGTTTATTTTAAATCTTGGTCTGTGTTTTCGTTTTGCAGCCCACATTTCCGGTGGGTCCCACAATAGGAACAAACACGGCTATTAGCTTTGCTCCTTACCTAACGCCAGTAACACCAGGAGTTGGCTTAGTCCCGACTGAGATCCTACCCACACCACCCGTCATTGTTCCTGGAAGTCCACCGGTTTCAGTCCCTGGTTCAACTGCTACCCAGAAACTCCTCAGGACTGATAAGCTGGAGGTACTGTAGACACTGCCGTGACTAGAATTACAATCCTCTCTTAGGCTCTCTGAAGGATCCTGGAGGGAAAATCTCTGTTGTTTTAGATACCATGCTTAACTTTAGTTACTACAAAAAAAGAAACCCCAAAACCTTGTAACCAGGCAGTTCAGTGGTAGTTAAGTACTGTTATTTTTAAAGCAGTTGACTCAAGTTTAGTACACAGAGATCAATATAAATCTTCATCTTTCATGAAGTTAATCTCCTCCAAAATACTTCAAGTGTGCATGCCTGTAAAGGTGTGCCTTGATGAAGTATCTAACAAGCACATTTTTATTGCAGCATTAATTCTGTCGCAGTTTTTATGCATTGATATTAGGGAAATTTTATAGCATTATGGATCAATATTAGGGGAATGGTGTACCACTTCAGCCTTGAGCTACAAATGGAGATGTGGAATGTTACCAACCCTGCAGCAGGCTGAAGGGGCAAGCCCCCAGCTATGTGCAGAACCTGCCCACGGCTGGGCTCAGGGCAAGCTCTGATCCAAGCACACAAGAAAGCCAAATGGCTCTTTCCAGAAATTAATATCCTTTCCCAAAAGTCTTAAGTGCCAGCATCTAGAGCACGTTTCTTCTTGGGAAAATCAGTGTGTTCATTCTGCCCTGTTTTGAAAATTATTTTTACGGAGGCTCTGCATTTTGTTTGTGGACTCTCTAAAAAATGCAGCGTGTCTGATGCACATCTTCCCCGGGCCTCAGTGAGAGGAGCTCCTTCCCTACCAGTGGAGCTGCAAGAGTAGGAAGTGTGGTCAGAAAGGGACTGAATATTTTGGGATTCCCAATTAGTTTTGTAAGGGCGGTTACTTCACTAAGTACCCTGCCTCGCTGTTTCCTAGGTGGGAAAAAGGAGAGGCAGTTGGGAACGCTTTTGTTGAATGTCAAGTTCATTTAGGTCTGTCTTTTGGGGGTGCAGGGCTCTCTCTGCCCTTCCGCATGGCGCCGAGCTCCTCCCCTGCAAACACGTGTTGTTTTGCACGTAGGTGTGCAGGGAGTTCCAGCGGGGAAACTGTGCGCGTGGAGAGACTGATTGCCGCTTTGCGCACCCGGCAGACAGCACAATGATTGACACAAACGACAACACCGTAACCGTGTGTATGGATTACATAAAAGGTCGTTGCATGAGGGAGAAATGCAAGTATTTTCACCCTCCTGCACATTTGCAGGCCAAAATCAAAGCGGCGCAACACCAAGCCAACCAGGCTGCGGTGGCAGCCCAGGCAGCTGCGGCAGCTGCGACTGTGATGGTAAGTGCTGGCATATATGGCTGCCTTTTTTTTTTTTTGTGGACAGAAGCTCTTTGATGCCTATTTTGCTTCAATTTAATGTTATTTGCTTATAGTTTATTTTCTCTTTTGCCTCTTTTTTATTTTATTTTATTTTTATTTTCTTGGTAAAATACAAAACTTTATAAAATTACTACTGTTGCTTGATGGGAGGAAGCACTTTTTTTTCTTTATGCCCTTATTTTAGTGCTGTGTTTCTATCCAAGACAGTGAAGCAAATGACACTCTATACCACTTCTGTTCTCTGCCTTAATTATATGTTGAATTGGCATTTCATATTTCCAAACAGAAACAAAACTGATAAGCTTTAACATACCCTGGAAAACAGGGGGCACATACGCTGTTTTAGCTCTTGGATGACGGATGTACATGTGGAAATCTGGAAGAAAAGGAAGAAAAGCAAAAAGAGAGCTTTTGCCTCAGAGATCAGCAGTAGAAAAGAAACGTACTAAGATTCAGTTCACCCCACCTTAGATGCCAGACAATTAGGTATCTGAGCCTAGCCTAGCCACCTTGGTCTCACTTCATAGATGTTGGGGGAAAATCAGCAAGTTCATCTGATCTACTATTAGTGCCTGTCTGAGAATGAGAAAGAGCTGCCCTTTGTAGATGCAACACCTGTCCCTGCTGACTGAAAATAGTTTACTATATCTTGTTGAACTTTGATTAGATAAATCTCATGCCTAGAGACTTTTCTTGTTTTTCCCATTGTCATGGGCAAGCTGCTTTGATTACGGCATCTAAAAGTAGTAAACTAAATGGGAATAATTAAGGAAGAGCATAGTAGCTACAGGCAGAAAAAAAGAGATTGAGGGCTTTCTATTTTCAGATATTCTAAGCTCTTGCTTAAAACTGTTCAAACAAGTCAGCCCATCCATTTATCAGTATTGGATTTCTCTTATGGTTGCTACCAGGAAAGTTGATAACTTTAAATAGAATGGTATTGATAAAGTTACATAAATTGAGGATGCAGGGTCTGACTAGGGAGACCAAACTGCTGGCAGCAAATCAAAGAATCATTGTCCTCATTGCTGGCATTGGACAAATAATTAAGCAGATGTGGTTTGTGGACTTGTGGGCAGTGCATACAATAGTTATAGGCAATGCAGTTATTCTCTGGGTTAAAAGCCTACCAGAAACACAATACAGTACAGTATATAACGACCCCAAGCTATTGTATTCAGCAAATTAGCAAAGACCGGACATTTTGAGGGACAAAATGTAAGACATGCAAGAAAGTAAACCTCCAAACAGAAGAACATTTCTTAAGGTTTTAGTATTCTTTCTCTTCCTGTATCCCCAGTCTCTGTTTCAGATTGCATGATTTTTAGTTAAACTTTCCTGTGCTTGCAGAAATGTAATACTATCTGGAAATTAAAGAAGATATATTTTAAAAAAAAAACAAACATCACTCTAATTAGCTTCTATTGTGCAATATTTCTTGTCCATTTAGATAATGTAAAATTTCTAGGCAATTTAGTAATGAAGAAAGGAGAAAGAGGATTATTTTAATTTTTTTTTGTGCTTCAGTGGTTGGATATATATCCTCTGATTTTAAATAAGCTATAATTGGAGTTGCATTAGCTTCAAAGCAAGATGAAGCATCTTTGGAAACAGAACTGAAGTGTTAGCATTCTAATGACACAGGAGAAGAAGGCAGGAACCTGTAATTCAGAGTTACTTTTTACAGAAAGGATCCAGAGGGTGCTCGTATAGGTGAGCGTTGTGGGTAGGGTTAGAGCACTGTAGGCAGAGCTCATAAGACCACTGAAGGTCAGTTATTTCTGCATTCTGGGACCTTCAGAAAATGCCCTATCTGCATTTCTGTACATTGAAGTTTAGGAGTTTTTAGTCAGACATCTTAGTTGACCTCATCATTTGAAATAAAAAGAAAGGGGAAAGACACTGCAAAAGGGGCTATAGACCATGTACAGCTAAAATGTTAGAAGACAGTGTCATCTATCATTCTACTCAGGGAGCTCCAAATATTCATGTGGTGTGTCAGAGAGCATAAAAAGTCACTGAAGGATGTACAGCCTAAATGGAAATATGAACTTATAGCTGGTGTTGGAAAGAATCTCTGGGGATTGCCTAGTACAATCCCCCTGCTCAAGCAGAGTGTGCTAGAACTGATTGCCCAGGACATGCCTAGTTGGCTTTTGAAAGTCTCCAAGGGTGGAGCCCATACTAAATACATTTGTCTATATGGATGAAATGGGAGACAGTTTTGAAAACCTTTCTGTAGTCAAGAGAAACAACATCCGTTGCTCTCCCCTCACCCACCAAACCAGTCTCACTGTAGAAGTCTGTCAGGTTGGTTAAGCACAGTTTCTCCTTTATAAATCTATGTTGAATACTCCCTGCTGCACCTTTTTGGCTTTCATGTGTTTGGAGATGGTTTTCAGGAGAATTTGCTTGATCGCTTTCCCAAGGACTGACCAACGTGTCATTCCTCAGACCTTCCTTCTTGCCCTTTGTGAAGACAGGAGTGTTACTCACTTTCTTGCAGGCTTCAGAAACTTTGCACAGTTGCAGGGAACTTTCAAAGATAATGAAGAGCAGCCTTGCAGAGACGTTATCCAGCTCCCTCAGCACCTGTTGGTGCATCCTGTCAGGTTCTATCGGTTTATGTACATCCAGTGTGTTTGAATGTTCCCTAGCCTCAATCTCCTCCTCCAAGGGTAAATCTTCTTCACTTTGGACTTTTCCACTGGCCTGAAGACCAGTCTTACCAGTAAAGACTGAGGTGTAGAAGATGTTCAGTACCTCAGCCTTTTCCATGTCCTGTGTCACCAGGTCACCTGCTCTTTTCAGCAGCAGACCCACATTTTCTCTAGTCTTCCTTTTTTAGCTGATATACTTGAAGAAGCCCTTCTTGTTGCCTTTTGCATCCCTTCACAGATGCAACTTCAAGGGGTCCTTGGCTCTCTTAACCCATCCCTGCATTCTCAGGCTGTGTCCCTGTTCCTCCTGAGACATCTGTCTCTGCTTCCACCTCTTATGTGCTTTTCTGCTTGCATTTGAGTTTAGGCAGTTGCTCCTTGCACAGCTATGCAGACCTCCACTGGATGTATCTTGCTGATATTCCAGGAGACATTATACCATACCAGTGTGACGTGCGGCGGAGAAATACTATACCTCAATATGTTTGATCATTTTTTAAAATTATCTTTATTTCCTTTCTATAGCATTTTCCTCTCCAGTCCGTAGCTATTGATTTTTTTTCAGTTGTTAGTTATGTAAGAGATCGATTGTTGAGCAGATTACCTGATGGAAAAGAAAGAGGCAAAGGAGGTTTTATTATCAGGACAAAATGAAAGAAAAAAATGAAGGTGGAACAGAAAAATGGACAGACATTCTGAAAGCCTGAAAAGAGGGGGAGACTACAAGGAAACAAGGTTAATGGGCAGGTCTAGAAACAGATCAAGTTAAAGCCTTCAGGCTGGGAAAACTGTGAGACAGACCTTGATGTGGAAGATGAAGGGAAAGCCAAAGAGCAAAAAGCTTCAAAAATAGAGAGATGAAGTTAAGAAAAGCATGGACAAGTGGAGAGAGGCAATTATAAACACAGAGATAATAAGTTAACAAGTGAGATCAGACAAGATCTGCATTTGGATAATAAAGGTAGTTAATTGAAATGCTTTACTCTTAATGATGTTGATTTGAATTTGTGGACTTCATCATTGCATAATGCAGAGTTCAGTTGTAGTGCTTCACCTTTGTGTAGACTTCCATCCATGGTGGATGCAGAGTGGGTTGGAGGCTGTGCCCCGTGCAGACAGAGTGATGTACCCCATGTGAGGTACCACACATCAGCTGCACAGCTTAGACACAAGAAGGCCCTCCAGATCCTCACTTTGCATCAGGTGTTTCTTGTTGTGTCCGAGTCCTGGACCCAGACAGATGAGCAAGTCCTGTAGATCAGGGTATGTAATCTGGAAGTGTGCTGAAGGAGAGATGGGGAGGGCTTTGGGCAGCCTTATGGAGTGTAGGTGCAACAGAGCCAGGAACAGGGCATAGCAAAGCAAGGGTTATCCTGTAAAATATCCTGTTGGCACTAGCTGATTTTGTGACTGTAAGCTCTTGGTAGGCATTTTGTGCCTTGTGCTTTTCGTTTTTTCCACTTTTATTTCCTATTTCCACATACTGATGTCAAGATAGGCATAATGTAGTTTGCATATCCTAAAAAGAGCTAAATGTCAGCCTGTGTTTAAAAAAAGAAAGTAAAAATTCTGATTTCAAGTTAAATCTTCCTTTCCTTTTTGAGGGTTTATAAGAATTATTTACACTATAATTTGAAAGTAATATTTTATGTGAAAACATTTTTTACAGAATGCCATTGTATCAGCCATAAGTTTGATCTTATTATGGAAGTATGCTTATATGTTTATGCCTATGTACTATGCCTAAATCTTTTATTTTAAAAATTAATAATGCTGGACTAGTATCATAATTCATACATTAATGTTCACTTATGAACTGAGGGCAGTATTTTTGCTCCCTGAACCTGAAGCTAGTACTGAAGGTTGCAGCAGAATTTAGAAATTATGTTTTAAATTCTCAAAGACTTTTTTCCCTCTCAATGTAATGTGGTAAGTTCTGAGGAAAAAAAAAATCTACAGAAATGACCCAGCTGTAGGGGGAAAAAAAGGAATTAATGATAAGTTAGTGTAACTAGACATACTACTTATTCTGCTTTGTATTGGCAAAGGAGAACCTCTCTCATTATTGAACCCCAAATCTATTGAATAACTCACTTCTCATAACTAAAAACACCCTCACCTGGCAAGCACTGATGTTAATAGCATTTGTAACGCATTACAACTTTCACTAGTGCTTTGTATCTGAAAACGTAGCCTTCCAAATTGATTTTTCCGCTTTGAAATGTGACTTAACTAACTTATCAGGAATTCTTATAGGCATATCCTTACAATTTTCTGCATCTCTGTGAAGTGTTTATATGATGCTTAATAGTGTCTGCAAGCTGCTGTTTTACTCAACTTTCCTGAATTTCAAACATCTATATTTTACTCTCTTATATGCTTTTAACTAAGGTATAGTAGATGCATTTTTGCTTCGGTACTAATTCGAAATGTAATATCCATTTCTTTAGAAGACATTTTTGTTGTTGTGCATGCCTAGTGTTTTGTATGTTGTATATTGCATTCAGAATATTTTTTTCCTTCTCACCTATCCACAAATGCAATGCCGTTCCCATGATGCACCTCTGCTTGCTGTTTACCTGTATGTTAATTCGCTTGAATCCCATTGGCCCACTGCCATCATGTGCTCGCTGCCTGTTATTAAAAGACTCAGTCGACTGCCAAAGCAATGAAGCGACCTCTCGAAGCAACTGTAGACCTGGTACTTTGACCTTTCACCTTTTGCTTTGCATGTAGCTTTTTATTTTTGTTGTTGTTTTGGGTTTTGGTTTTTTGGTTGGTTGTTTTTGTTTTGTTTTGCTTTGTTTTCTCTCAGAGAAGCAACTAATGAAATTTGTATCGCTTTACTTTCAAACATCAACCGGAAATGATTTCACATACTTGTTAATTTACCAGAAAGTCTATTTATCCATCTCATTCTCATATGTAATAAACACAGATGATTTAGTTTGGTTCCTAACATGGTTTCATTTTTTTAAATGTCCTCTCATGAGAAGTCGAATTGAGATAAAACTGCTTCTGTAATTGAAAACACTTAACGTAATCCATTAATCTGTATAATATTAGGAAACGATATTTAAATTTAAAACAGAAAATACTTGGCAATGAAACACAAGTGGTTTTTTCTCCCTCTGATATTTGAAAACCTATTTAAAGGCAATGCCATTTTTGTTGCTTTAAAGGCCTTTCTTTTCAGTAGTTGTGCTGCTACAGTTTTAGGTTAATAGTACCACGCTTTTGCTACCAGTAACAAAATTTCACTCATTTTACATTGCTGTGCTTTAAGTTAATATGCATGGCGAGGCATCTTTAGCTGCTTTAAAAAATAATAAGTTTTTGTATTTATGTATATGTTATGGACAACCTCTTAAAAACGATGCCATTGTAACTAACTTCCTTATTTACAGGCCTTTCCTCCTGGTGTTCTTCACCCTTTACCAAAGAGACAAGCACTTGAAAAAAGCAATGGTGCCAGTGCCGTTTTCAATCCCAGTGTCTTGCACTATCAACAGGCTCTTGCCAATGCTCAATTGCAGCAACATGCAGCGTTTATCCCAACAGGTATGTTGAACCCACATCCAACCAGTTTTGTGTTCCCCAGGGTAGCCTCCAGGTCAGGCAGTTGCACTTAGCAGAAGGTTTTGCTATGCTCCCTGCCCTGCTTGAGGTGGAGTCTGCACAGATACTTACACGGTATTTAAATTCCTCCTGCAAGGTACGAGATTTCAAGCAGAAATTTCAACATGCCGTTAGGCTGCTTTTCGCTTTCATAGCCTCGTTCATCCCTGTCCACAGTTTGGCCCTTTTTTTCTACCTTAAATTGGATGTATTTTGACTTTTATCCACCAGCTCTCTCCAAGGAGACAAGAGGGCAAAGTCTCACAGACAAAAATGTTGGGAACAGCTTTAGAGATGCCAGGGGAAGCGTGCTGAGGTGCATCCTCCTGCTCCCCCGGGTGCTCTGAGGATTCCCCCAGCCGTGCCCAAGTGGAGCAAGAAGGGGAGCACCAGTCATGACCATCCCATCCATGCCTGCCTGGAAGCACTGGCAAACGCCATCGCTCCCCGCAGCCGTGCTAAAGGGCTTTGAGGCATTGGATGTGTTTTCATGGTTTTCATTTTGGATCACCACCAGTACTGCATTTGCAGCTAATAGCTGGTGATATCATTCCTCATGGGGGTGATCTGAAGATGAGCGAATGTGATTTGCATTTCAGTGCTCAGAACTCTGTAAAAATCCAGAGATGGCTTGAGCTGCACTGTGGCATTTGGCAGGGCTTCCTTCCCCTTAACACTGCGAGAGAAACCACATGCTAGGTGCTCATGTAAGCAATAACAACATAACCCTCTCTGTTATCTCAGTCATCCCCACTCCAGACTTCCCAAAGGTAAACATCCTGCCTAATGAATTCTGTGATTTCATTTGTAATTACCAAATTACATCTTTTAGTATCGGAATGTTAGCAAGTGTGAACTTCCAGAATCATTTGAAACTATGTGTTTGCAAATGCACTTGACATTTCAGCTACGTTATTTTAGTTTATGGAAATAATGTCGGTTAAACAAGGAATGAAGCACAACACATCATGATTTCCCTATCTATCAGCATTCCCATATGTTTTTTAAGATAAAAACAAACACAGATGGCTTTGACTTTGTGAAATTTTGCTATAAGGCCTGAGTAACAACCTTGGAGCCTGCCCCTGTATTTATAATAGTAAGTTAGAGCATGCTGTATTTTTAGCACATTGGTGCACCAGAATATCTGTGGCAGAAAACATACTGACGTTTATGGGAGTGTTTGACAAAATAACTAAATTGAAAAACTGCCTACTTGGACATGAATGGAAGACTGCCCTGTGCTTACAAACATACAGAAGTTTCCAGAAATTTATTTTACTTTGTAACCCTGAGAATTTGCAGTATGATATGCATTATCCCTTCTCTGAAGCACTCCCTTTCAGGGCTTCTCACTAGTATGTGCAATTGCCAAGGATTTTAAATTAAGTATGGAAAATACAGTAGTTTAACCCATTCTCAGTGAAATAGCATTTGGATATTTTCCAGACTTTTGGAGTGCTCATGCTTCCTTAAGTAGCTCATTCATTGTGCTTTTTGTTGTCCATCCCACTTTCCAGCTAATGGTTGTAATTACAGTTTTATCTTACAAATGTCTGATGGTAGGAAGGGTGAATCTTGGAACCAAACCTTAATGGCCAGGTTGTTGGCAAGCCCCAAAACACGTGCATGAAAACAAGAAGAAACAGAGGGCTAACATGGCGGGTGGAGCCCAAGCTCAGACTGGAAAACTTTTCTCACAGTGCTGAACCTTCTCCTCATAGTGAACACCATCAGCACCTAGAAGGATGTCAGAGAGAGAAGTGGGGTGCGGGGGAGGTTAGGAAATCAGAACCCCAACTATATAAGTGGGTGTCATGAGCTTTTCCTTAACTATGTCCAATATTCCCCTGTTTCCTGGGGAAGCTGGGTCTGGTGGGTGTAAGGACTGTCATGCCACCCAGGACTGAGGAGCATTGCATGATGTTATCTGTTGGATTTTTTAAATTATGTGATATTTTCTGAACTGGTATGATTTTCAAATGTGTTCCGTGTGTGTGCGTGTGTTAAGTTAAAATTTAAGACAAGTTTTGCTGCTGGAATATATATAAAACTTAATTGTTTTATATAACTTCTCTGCTTTCTTAACCACTCTCCTAATAAAAAATGTGGGGCTTGATTTAGCATGGCTTGCCTCCAAAGTTCTGCACTTTGTTTCACATCAGTTTGATTGCTTTGTCACCTCCTCCTTATTGTTTGGTGAATGATCTTAAAAACAACAGATCGTTTCTCTCTTCCATTGCTGTTTGTTAGTGTTTCTATAGCCTCTAGAGGAGGAACTTTGTGTATTCTCCGGGGACTGTTCTTTGGTAAGGTCATTCATGGTTACACTGCTATTGCGAGAGTCTGGGAAGGGGCTGCAGTAGTAATTAAGCAGTAATACAGGAAGGATATTTGTCTTTGCATCAAATATGCATCTCTGTGGGACTAGTCTCCTTAACTGCTCTCCTCCACCACCTTACTATATGCACGATACTGAAAACACACTGGTTTGTTCTTAATTTCTTCTTCCCAGGCACCAAAATTGAACTGCAGCAGTTGAGCAGTCTTCCCAGAGAGTCTCAGAAGTGTGCTGAGAGCTTTTTGCAAATCATTACAGACTTCGAGTTGTTTAACTTGGGGACTAGTTCCAGCAGTGTGTTGTTTGGTCAGAAGCACCTCTCCACCTTAGGTGTTGTGTTAAGAACAAATACATTAAGATAACACACAAGTTTTGCAAAGCCCCTGCAGAAATGTATTCTGTTTTAACTTCTTTCTCCTCTGCACATCAAAAAGTTGGTGAACGTTGGTCTGCACAGTGTTGAGTTGAGCTACACAATGTGTTCTAAAATCCCCAAATAAAGTGATAGTTAACCAGAGACCTTTCTAAAAACTTCTGAAAACGAAAACTTGTTGGTGCAAAAGTGAAAAGCTAAAAGTACTAAATTAAAAAGTTTATGATGTACCTTGTTTTTACACATAAACATATGCCAAAAGTCACACAGTGTGCTAAGGTTCAGTAAGAACATAATCACCTTTTTTGTGTTAAAGCAAAACCATGAATGACCTTACAGTTTCATTTGACTAACTTACTTCTCTGTGGGTGTGCTTGAATCTCACTTTGAATGTTAACTCTAAACAGCTAACCTGTTTCTTCCCTTTATCCACTTTTTTCACCTATCATTGCATGACACACAGGGTCAGTTTTGTGCATGACACCCGCTACCAGTATTGGTAGGTTCCAAATTTCTTTATTGATCTCTTTTTGTACTGTATATGATGTATATTCACTTGTTTCAAAAATCCTAGGCAAGATTTAGACAATTACTAGAATTGAAGGTTCGCTTGTCCTTTTGGTTGACTTTGCAGATCTGTAGATGAAAGCTGCAGTTTAGATGTGCTGTCACCTGCTATAACAACTACACTGCAAAAGCTCAATACCATGAATTCCAGTCTGTTTTTCCGTTTTCAAAGTTTTATTTACCTTTATATTTTATATTGTCTAGTACTATAAAATAATGAAATACTGGGAAAAGCCAGCGAATTTCATCAGTGTTTTAAAGTTTCATAGTGGTGTGCCTATTTCTCCTTTTTGCTGTGTGTTAGAAAGTTTTATCAGCGTTTCCCAGAAATGCCTACTTTGATCGACAAAGGTTCTGATGAAACCCAGTATCTTAATCTTGTCCCTCTTTAAAATGTATATTTTCAGCTCCAAAGTAATATTTTGGGCATGCAAAAATGGAAGTCCAATGCAACAACCTCTGAGAAAGAAGAGTAATCTTTCTTTTATTCTGTAGCCCTGTTCCAGTGATATTTTTCTAAATTTTTATTTTTTTTTTCTGGGAGTACTCAGTTTTAATATCAAGCCTTTAAAATATCAAGTTAGTAATTCTACCATGAAGATGCTGATTAAAATGCATTCTTAAAATGAGCAAAAGTAGCAACTTCCACAAAATCAACCCTGCTTTTTAAAATCAAACGAAGTAGTATTTAAATCAGGAAAATTATTATCATCCTTCTTCTAATTTTTGCCTCCAAGCGGATGGTAATTTAACTCTGATAAAGTCTAACAGTTATGCAGTGCTAGTAGAAAAAAATGCTTAAATTGGATTATAAAGGAAGACAGCGAGTATCTGGCTTACTTCAAAATGAAGATACATGAAAATAATCTGGGTTTTAATTGTGTTTAAAAATTAAGATAAACATCAGTTTCTTGCCCAGTACAAGCCACAGCAGAATTTTACTTTGGAGTGCTTTATGTGCCTACTGGGAGAAGACAAGCTGCCCACCTAACAAATTCCCGAGTAACGGGAGAGGTAGAGGCCTCCTCTTTGCACAAGTCAATCCTCCTCTTAAGAGTTAACGCCAGTGTTTCCGATGGTCCTTGCACGCTTTTTTTTTCTGGGAATCGCCGATTGTGTTGACAACCTTCCTTTAATTGTACTTGTAATAAGCTATTTTCCCTCTTTTTTTTTTTTTTTGTTTTTTTTTTTTTTGATGGTCCTTGCACGCTTTTTTTTTCTGGGAATCGCCGATTGTGTTGACAACCTTCCTTTAATTGTACTTGTAATAAGCTATTTTCCCTCTTTTTTTTTTTTCTTTCGTTTTGTTTTGTTTTGTTCCCTTTTGTTTTTGATTCCTCCGCCACGCTTTCTCGCTTTGCTCTGTGATTGCATGCCATCTGCCGGTTTAACCCATGACGATGGCTTGCCCGCTCTTGATATTCACCATGCCAAAAATACCACTTCTCTTACCATAATGCTGCACCCTCCTGTTCATTGCTTCCATGGTTCCCCTCCTGAAAGTACCCATGATGCACAACGCTACGGCCGCCACTGTCTCTGCAGCAACAACTCCTGCAACAAGTGTTCCCTTCGCCGCAACAGCCACAGCAAATCAGGTTTGCTCCTTTTAAAGCTTTCTTTCACAAGATCCCGAACTCTAAATGAGTGCTGAGATTTTTTTATTTATTTATTTTATTTTATTTTAAACAAAAAAAATTCTCCCGGAGAATTTTTTTTTTTTTCTGTGTTTACCCCATCAAATTTTACTTTTATTTTTAAGTCGTTTATAGCAAGTGTTTGTGGGACAGGTTGCACTTATTTAGAGTTAACATTTGTTGCAAATAATGATGTAGCTGTGTTTTGTGTTGCAATGTTTGTACCTAATTACTGTGTAATTAACCCAGCTGGAGTTAGAACCACTGTAGCACTGGACTACTCACAAAAGTCTGTTATTAACTCCTAAGTTCAAAAGGAAGAGCATCACAGGTTTCAAACATTCAGGTGTGTTAACGGAGCCTTCTCCATGCAGTGTGTGGAAGTGCCTCATTTGTAAGCATGAAAGCTGTCTAAAATCCCAAGCAGGACAAGGTAGCTGGAAAAAAAAAAAAAAAAAGAAAAAAGAAACAAGCAAACCAAAAAAATTATGTCTTCTGTAAATGCTAGTGATCAAAACAGCACTCCAGATATTTGTGAGTATGCCTGCTCTAAGTTTGAAAGTGTATCTTTAACCTGGGAATTACATTTCCCTGAGGAAGGACATAGTTACAGAGAACCCCTCGGGTTATTGGCAGGGGCAGGCAAGAAAGATGATACTTTCTCCTTTTCTTCTGTTGTTTGTTATGTTAATGGCAGTTTTCATTTCGGTAGGGTTTCCGCCTCCTCCCGTAGGACCTGATTCCCAGGGAAGACCTATCTGTTGCAGCTCAAAGTGTGTGGCTCTGACACTCCTCCTTTGGAGCTAGAGAGATTCCCACCAGAGATAGGTTTGCACAGCTGTTGGGTTGCTCTGGCATTTCTGTTGCTTCAGGACCATGCTCAGGCACTTCCACCTGGGAGCTGTTTTCCCTCAGAGTCTGAGAGGTCAAACTGAGGAGGGAGCAAGCAGATTTGCTCACCAAGTGAAAGCTAAGGGCTTTGTCCCCATCACCTTTCCTTGTGTTGCTCCTGTCCAGTCCCACAAGAGTAGACAGAGTAGAAACACTCGCCTGTTGATTCATTCTCCTCCACCTGCCAAGGAAGTACAAAGAAATCAGTGAAAATGTTTTGCTTGATAGTGTTATATCAGCAGATTGGTTTTGTTGCTTGTTTGTTGTTTTTTTTTACTGTTGGTCCCTAAACTATTTAAGTATCCCATGGAAAAACAGAAGTTGCCTCAAGAGTTTATTTATATTAATTTAGGAAATATATACTACCTCTGAAATACACTCTACTTTCTTAAAGAAACACAAACCAGCCCTTTCTTTATTTTTTTGAAAGGCTTGTTTGCCAGCATTGTGGTGTTTGTTCTTCTAGAGTTTTCATCAGAAGGGGGTTGTCATTTTGTGTGTTCTTTCCTGAGAGCTAGTTTGTTTTAATGAAAAAATGCTTGGGACAAGGAGGAAAGTGCAGCAGGAAAGTGGTGCGTTTCACTGTCCTCCCCAGAACAGCATCTGCAGCAGAAAATTGTTTGGTGTTATCCAGTGTAGTTTTCGGATCCCAAAGAAGTGACAGAGGGACTCAAAGGTGCCAAGAACTATGAGAAAACGGAGTGGTTTGGGGAGGGGGTGGGCTGGGGACCCTTTCCAGTGCTGGAGTGCCTCCAGGGCAGCTCCACCATCAGCTCCCCTGAGCGCCAGAGGGGCTGACTGTGGCTGAAATAAATACATGTACACTTACAATAGATCAGTAAGCAGACTTCTTTTTTTTTCTTTCCTTTAGTTAATGGGAAAACTTTTGCACAGTAACTAGTGCCACTGGGGAGATGTAAGTGTGCCTTCATGCACTTGCACAACTAGCAGGACAGTAGGCAGAGCCCCTCCTTCCCCAGTGCAGATTGTGTTTGCTTTGGAGGAGTACATAATCGTAAATTTAACAGGACTTGTTGAGGTGTATTTATTGAGTCGCATATATTTGTGTGTGCTTGTATGCATGTAACTCCATGCTGAAATGAAAAAGCAGTTTAACGCAGGGATGGGTTTGCACTTGTTTAGCTTCAGCCATTTGGAAGTTTGGCATCCATTCATCTGCTTTTCTACAAGTCCATGAGAGGGCAAGGTAAATTGCCCTTGGAGTGTCCTGCCTCTTTCTTTTTGTTGCATAAGGAGCACAGGTGCACAACTGAAGCTCTGCACCACGAGGAGGAGATGGGTCCCACCTCAGCAGCTTTTCTCATTGACTTCTGTAGCATGTGCCATCACTGTCTTTTTTTCCTCTTGCTCCTGTCTTTGTTTTAGTCCTTGCAAATCTTTAAAGTCTGCTGTAAAAATCTGTGTATTTGAGAGTAGG